TTTTTATTCATCGACAGTTGTTTTTACAACTTAATTTGAGTTGATATATGATATAGCCTTAAGGGAGGTAAGAATAGATCTATTGTTACAGCTCCTGGATGGAGGAAAGGAGTACAGCATTACCTCAAATCCTTCCTATTAGAGGCCTGGATTAACTTAGACAGTGTCGGACTGTCAATTAAGGACTGGTTCAAGCCGCTCATCCACCATTCTGTTCATTCCTTAACAGCTGTTTGTTCATGGGCCTGTATACTTGGTGGCAGCAGTGTTTGTCATTGTGTTGTGTTCAGAGGGGAAGGAAGATAGAAGTAATGTTTTCATAAGCCAATGCAAGCAACATCTACTTATCAACAAGCTATCCTGATGTTGCATCTGCAGCATCCATCATCCAGGGAAAAAGATGGAGTGCCACCCAACCCCCAGCAAGACTCCCTTTGTGCAGTGACTGCCCTGCCAAAGCCTCCCAGTTTGCTCCATTTTTTTAGTGCATGTCCCTCCAGTTTACTCCAACATTTCTTTAGTACTTACCCCTCCTTGATTCCTTTCCCTCTCATTAAAAAGTGTAAGACATCCCATCTGTTGTCCCCCACACCATCTTGCAGACAATGCTGGAAGGAGGGTTGTAGTACCTCCTCCCCTACAAGGCTCCCTGCAAACAGTAGCTACCTTGCTGAGGCTCTCAGTTTACTCCAACTTTTTTTAAGCATGTGCCACTCCTGGATTCCCTTCCCTCACATTAGTTTATATTTTGCCCATTGTACGAGCATTGCAGGTCATGCTAGCACCAACAGTCAGTGTGCTGTTGCTACGAGAAAAAAAAGAGTGAGAGAGAAAAAAGTTTTATTTGGTCATTTAACATGGGTAGTGTGTCCAAGCTATGAAAACACCTTGATTTTGAGGTATGCCTGAAGACTTTGTAATGAGGTAGGCCTGGTTACCTGCTTCCTGGCCTACCTCCTGGCCAGCCTACTGGCCTGCCTACTTAATAACATTCACTCTGATATCCTTATTCTCTTTTAACCCTTAAACTGTCCAAACATAGATCTACGTCCACATGCGGGGCGCTCCGAGCGTAGATCTACATTTTTTTTTACATGCTTTCAAATGGGGAAATCAAGGTCGGAGTGCTACGCACGTGAACGTAGATCTATGTTTGGACAGTTTAAGGATTAAGCAGATTAGAGAGTGAGAGAAAATGAGAGTCAGTACCTCCTGGGTAGGCTGTACTGACTTTGTATTTGACTGATGATACGTTTTGCCTACTGTGTAGGCTAAACGTTTCATCAATAAAGAAGAATGAGGGAAGGCATGGTTGAAGTGTGTAAGTGGAAAACGGGTATTAACAAAGGAGATATATATGTAAATAAGGTCCTGAGGATATCCCTCCAAGAGAGAACTCGCATAATGGATTCAAATTAAGTAAGTTTAGATTTAGAAAAGATACAGGAAAGTATTGGTTTGGAAATAGGGTAGTTGATGAGTGGAAGTCTGTAGGGTTATTGAAGCTAAAACCTTGGGTAGCTTCAAAATTAGGTTGGATAAATACACGTACACGAGTGAGAGGGGTTGGATTTAAGTGGGACTTCCAAAGCTTATTGCTTGGGTAGCATTGAAAATGGGTTGGGCAAATATATTTGTTAGTGAGATGTATTTAAGAATGACTTGCCAAATATGGGCCAGTAGGCCTGTTGCAATATTCTTAATTTCTTATGTTCTTAGGATATAAACTGTTTGACAGATCCTTGACCACCTACCTACATCATAAAAAGGTCAGTGTTGTAAGTTGACCGGGAGGCATAATCTTGTCCTCATATACGTACAGTGGACCCCTGGTTAACATAATTAATCCATTCCAGAGAGCTTGTCCATACAGAATCTGACTTAATCTGAATTAATTTTCCCCATAAGAAATAACTGAAATCCAATTAATCCGTTCCAGACACCCAAAAGTATCAAACAAATTTGTTTTACGTAACTGAATGAATTTGTTCCCATAAGGAATAACATAAATTAGATTAATCCATTTCAGACCCCCAAAAATACACTTACAAAAGCACTTACATAAATACACTTGCATAACTGCTCGCGTTTTGAGCTGTTCGTATCCCGAGGTTCCACTGTATTAAGTTTATTTTTTCTTATGTCTTATGTTACTAGTAATTCATACATATGTATTAATACCATATAATGTTCTACACATTCTATACTTGAAATTTATGCTTCAGAAACTTGCTTTTCAAATTTTTGTTATAACGAAACTGTCATGATTATTATTGTGTTTCAAAACATAAAAGATTATCCAGGATCATAATGGAAAAATATTGCAGATACACCGGACATGTTTTATTTTAACCCTTAAACTGTCCAAACGTAGATCTACGTTTGTGTGTGTAGCGTTCCAACCTTGATTTTCTCCATAAGAAAGCATGTTAAAAAACATAGATCTACGTTTGGAGCACTACGCGAGCGAACGTAAATCTGCATTTGGACAGTTTAAGGGTTAATGAGGAGGCCCTAAAGTTGCTAGGGTCATACAGTGCCAAGACAAACAGTGGCAACCAGAGTCAGTCTGAGAAAAGGGAAGATAATGCCAGTGTCTTGGATCAAGGGCCCCTCACAGGCACCAAGACACCTACTGTCAAGTGACACCAGAGGTTCCTCACAGGCACCAAGACACCTACTGTCAAGTGACACCAGAGGTTCCTCACAGGCACCAAGACACCTACTGTCAAGTGACACCAGAGGTTCCTCACAGGCACCAAGACACCTACTGTCAAGTGACACCAGAGGTTCCTCACAGGCACCAAGACACCTACTGTCCAGTGACACCAGAGGTTCCTCACAGGCACCAAGACACCTACTGTCCAGTGACACCAGAGGTTCCTCACAGGCACCAAGACACCTACTGTCCAGTGACACCAGAGGTTCCTCACAGGCACCAAGACACCTACTGTCCAGTGACACCAGAGGTTCCTCACAGGCACCAAGACACCTACTGTCAAGTGACACCAGAGGTTCCTCACAGGCACCAAGACACCTACTGTCCAGTGACACCAGAGGTTCCTCACAGGCACCAAGACACCTACTGTCCAGTGACACCAGAGGTTCCTCACAGGCACCAAGACACCTACTGTCAAGTGACACCAGAGGTTCCTCACAGGCACCAAGACACCTACTGTCCAGTGACACCAGAGGTTCCTCACAGGCACCAAGACACCTACTGTCCAGTGACACCAGAGGTTCCTCACAGGCACCAGACACCTACTGTCCAGTGACACCAGAGGTTCCTCACAGGCACCAAGACACCTACTGTCCAGTGACACCAGAGGTTCCTCACAGGCACCAAGACACCTACTGTCCAGTGACACCAGAGGTTCCTCACAGGCACCAAGACACCTACTGTCCAGTGACACCAGAGGTTCCTCACAGGCACCAAGACACCTACTGTCCAGTGACACCAGAGGTTCCTCACAGGCACCAAGACACCTACTGTCCAGTGACACCAGACACTGATCAGTTTTGTTATTGTTTTTTATTAACACATCAGCCATTTTCCACCAAGGCAGGGTGGCCCAAAAAAGAAAAACTTTCACCATCATTCACTCCATCACTGTCTTGCTAGAGGCACACTTGCACTACAGTTATAAAACTGCAACATTAGCGCCCCTCCCTCAGAGTGCAGATCCAGTTATTCTACAAAAATACAATTAACCAAAGCTTCTAAGAATACAGCTGCCCTCCACTTTGGTGAGTTCCACTTTTACGAGCTTCAAACATTGGCAAATGCCCAGCTGCCCAATCATATTTACCAAACAGATGTGGGAAAAAGTATGGGAAAACACTTCCTGCCGTGTCCCTACTACCGTCCTTCTTACCCCCTCAACTGGCAGCCCGCCAGTCTGCCACTCGGTCATTGTCCAGTTACTGTTTGTGTCGTACCGTACACGTGTGTTTGTGGTGGTGGTACAAGTATGGCCCCCAAGCGAGCAGCAACCGCTATTAATGAGCCAACCCCTAAGCGCTCAAAGAAAGTCATGAATCTGGAGGAGAAAGTGAAATTGCTAGACAACTGTAGGGCAGGTTATTTGAGCAATTCTGCCATTGGAAAATTATTTAATGTAAACAAAAGCACAGTGTGCTCTATCAAGAAAAATGAGGCAAAGATAAGGGCAGCATCTACTGCTCCCCTGTCAGTCAAGCAAGTGTCACGAGTATGAAACAGTGTGACGTCTAAGATGGAATCAGCATTATTTGTGTGGATTTCAGACCAATATAGAAAAGGAAATCCCATAGATAGTGCGATTCGTGCAAGGGGAAAGACTTTGATATGTTTTCAAGTGATGAGGCTAGCACCGTGCAGAACCAGGACGTCCTACCATCACCCATCCTGACTTCCTAGCAAGTAAAGGATGGTTTGATATATTTAAGAGAGGGTTCTCCCTGTGCACCCTGAAGATGAGTGGAGAATCAGGTTCGGCAGATCATGTTTTGGCAAGGCTAGTTTGTGGTAAAGGGTTCAAGGACATGCAGGAGGGTGAGGTGAGAGAACTGGTTGAAGAACATGCACTGGGCCTAAATGATGAATTGTTGGAGATTGTGCAAGCAGAGAATGAGGATGAAGAAGAGGAGTGTGTTGCTGAGGTCGATCAACCTCATGCCCTTACCCTTGAAAAACTAGGACAAGCAATGAGAACGACAGCACATCTCAAACAATTTTTTTACGACACAGACCCATTAATGTTGAGGACTTTGAAGGTGATGAGCGACATTGGTAGGAGCACAATTCCCTACAAAACTTCGTAGATATGAAGAGGAAACGGTCTCAGTTGCCCATCACAATGTTCTTCACAAGGAAGCCTGCTACTACCCCTGCCACTACCCCTGCCACTACCCCTGCCAGTACCCCTGCCAGTACCCCTGCCGGTACCCCTGCCACTACCCCTGCCACTACCCCTGCCACTACCCCTGCCACTACCCCTGCCGGTACCCCTGCCACTACCCCTGCCACTACCCCTGCCACTACCCCTGCCACTACCCCTACCGCCTCACCTGAACCTCAACCTGTGGCAGAATCTGACTCCATTGCTAACTCTGACTCTAACAATGTCGGCAGTGGAGTTGGAATCCACACACTAGACTCATCATGCCATGCAGTTACACTCCATATAATCACCTCCATTCAACTGTCATCAGTAATTGCATGACTAACTATCATCATCATCATCATCGTCATCGTCCTCATCATCACAAGTCATCAGAGTTTCTGCCTAACCTTACAAGTGGTGAGTGTTTTGTTTGTTCATTATTTGTTATTAAACCATAACACGTATATAAAATATTTTATATTTTCATGTGTTTTATGACTGTTCATGATTCAATAGGTTAAGGAAGCAGTATTGTTAGGCTAAGTAAATGCTATTATTATTTTCCCTACAATATATTTGTGCATCAAAACGTTTGCAAATGTTACAGTATTGTATTATTATATTTCTTTCAACAAACCAGCCGTATCCCACCAAGGATTATTATATTTCCCTACATCATATTTGCGCACCAAATATTCACGAATTTTCAAGATTCACGAGGTTCTTGATCCCCTAACCCTAGCAAATGTGGAGGACCTCCCTTACTGCTACCTTAGTGACACCAAGAAAACTTTCTTGAATGAGTACTTGTATGTACTGCAGATTCAAAATTCTGTAAATGAACAGATATTTGAAAGAGACTCAGTTTTATCTCCAAGTAATTTTTATGACTGTTGCTATCACATAAATTTTCTGATCATACTACTAGCAAGATTTACCATCATTAATGGCTTGGTGTTTGTTTCAGTGACTTTGATTTTTGTGAGAAAACTTTTAAATATTGAACACTGGCATAATTTCTAAATAGTACGAAGTCTCAGGTGTTTCACTAAATTAAACTGATCTGCAAACACCTTTAGACATTCTGAAATTTAATATGGTTTCTCACCAGTATGAATTCTCATGTGTGTACCTAAACTAGATTTCATGGAGAACTTTTTTAGACACTCTGAACATTGATATGGTTTCTCACCAGTATGAATTTTTGTGTGTTTAACTAAACTACATTTCATGGAGAACTTTTTCAGACACTCGGAACATTGATATGGTTTCTCTCCTGTATGACTTTTCATGTGTGTTACTAAAATAGATTTTTGTGAGAACTTTTTTAGACACTCTGAACATTGATATGGTTTCTCTCCTGTATGAATTCTCATGTGTGGTACTAAACTAGATTTTGTTGTAAACCCTTTAAGACACTCTGAACATTGATATGGTTTCTCTCCAGTATGACTTCTCATGTGTTCTTCTAAATGAAATTTCATAGAAAACTCTTTTAGACATTCTGAACATTGATGTGGTTTCTTTCCAGTATGAATTCTCATGTGTTTTACCATACTAATTTTACTGGTAAACCCTTTTAGACACTCGGAACATCGATATGGTTTCTCTCCAGTGTGAATTTTCATGTGGTGTACAAAATAATTTTTATCTGAAAACTCTTTCAGACACACTAAACACTGATGTGGTTTCTTTCCAGTATGAATTATCATGTGTTTTACTAAACTAGATTTACTGGTAAAGTCTTTCAGACACACTAAACACTGATGTGTTTTCTTTCCAGTATGGACTGTCATGTGTCTTACTAAATATGATTTCATGGAGAACTCTTTTAAACACACTGAACATTGATGTAGTTTCTCTGTAGAATGAGTTCTCATGTGTTTTCTTAAATACGGTTTCATTGAAAATTGTTTTAGACACACTGAGCACTGATATGGTTTCTCTCTGGTATGAATTTTCATGTGTCTTATTAAATATTCTTTTTTTGAAAATACTTTCAAACACTTTAAACACCGAACTGTTTTTTTGTCTTCATTAACTGTTATCAATGATTCAAAATGAGATTTTTGTGAGGAATGTGAATATTGATGTAGTTTGTCTTCTGCGTCAACTGTAATGTGTGTTGCTGGAACACTTTCTTTTTCAAGTATTTTAGACATAGTGATCAATAACTTAACACTTTTATTATCAGGATTCCCCTAAATTAAAATTGCTTATTGTGTCAGGATTTTTCCATGGAAAAAATAATTTTTTCTTCAGGAATGGCAGAGAATCTTTTTCTTAAGGTCATTAATGCCAAAACATGAAATACGATGTAAACTTATGGAACTACAAAGGCACAAAGTTGACAGTCTGAGCATACTTTGAGTCTTAAATTAAACAAATTCCATTGCTCATTTTAAACAACTTCTTAGCCTTTTCGCTCTGGCGAATTTGCACAAAAGTTAGTAATTTGATCATCTTTATGCAAAATTCAAAAAATTCCTATTTGTAAACAAAAAATATACACAGTATTACAGCAGCTAAAGTAATGTATCCTCTGTTCATTAATTATGTTCCCAGGCCTCTATTTTCAATCCATCATACACACAAAATTAAAGATTTACATTGTTTTTCAAACAAACAATAATCAAAAATAATTGTCATGGTTTATGGCACCTAAATAATTGAACCAGACTTAATAAAAACCCATAAAAAAAAGATAAGGGAAAGGTTGGGCTATTCCCTTCATGAAAATTGTCAACATTTGAATATTTCAAGATACTTCTGGTCCTGAAAGCGACCAAATTAATCATTTCAGTAGTATGATAACCATTTTATCAACTGATACCAAGAAACAGATATAAAATCATAGAAAAACATCCTAAAAAACATCTCAAAGTTATTTTAAATCAAACAGAAGGTCAGAGGCTTGTTTTCCTCATCATGCGCCGCATGGGGTAGGATTTCTTTTATGCTGTGTACACTCGCCGCAAAGACCAACTCTCACGTGTCTAGACCAAAATTTACTACTCTCAGCACATGTGAGGGCGGTGTGCTCAAAACAGATCTACACGAGTGACACTGGGGCCAATAACGAAGATCTACACGAGTGACACTGGGGTCAATAACGAAGATCTACACGAGTGACACTGGGGTCAATAATGAAGATCTACATGAGTGACACTCGGGTCAAAAATGAAGATCTACATGAGTGACACTGGGGTCAATAGCCTGAAGTATTGTCACTATAAGTACCAGCCTCTGTTATCAGGATGACCAGTAGTATTGGTACTAGAAGTACCAGCCTCTGTTATCAGGATGACCAGTAGTATTGGTACTAGAAGTACCAGCCTCTGTTATCAGGATGACCAGTAGTATTGGTACTAGAAGTACCAGCCTCTGCTACCAGGGTGACCTGCAGTATTGGTACTACGAGTACCAACTTCTGCTACCAGGATGACCTGCAAAAGAGAAACAACCATTATAATCTTTTATTCAACTTTTACTTCAAGAATATCAACAACTTTTATGTTCACTATAAATATCTTAAGTAATACCTGTAATATTATTATTGTAATACTTATGGTATTATTGTAATACTTGTGGTATTATTGTAATACTTTGCCTTTAAGGGGGGCTCCTTGTTGTGGTGAAGAGATTTGGTCTGAGGAATTGGAGCTTTTGGTCTTTTTACTCCAACTGAACCTAACTACCTTCCCTCCTCCCTTCCCTACCATAGCTTTCCTATTCCATCTCTTTTTCCCATCCCTCTCCCTCACCTGCAGTTTTACTTTTGGCCTTTGGGGTCCTCCCATCTGAAAATCTAGCTCCTGGGTTGGGGAAAGGGTGTTGTTATCTGTCACATTCTGCTGAGGTCCTTGGTGGTGGTGTTTGCCATGGAATCTGGATTATCTGAGGGTGTTCTGATTGACCCTCCAGAGTTCCAGAGGGCAGACTGTGGTGTTCTTCATGTGACAAGTGTATCTCTAGAGGCTGCTGTTGGTTCTGAGAGGTGGTGGCTGAAGGAGGTAGGCAGTGTGATGGGTTTCCAACCATCCTCTCTTTTGTCCGCTGGGGTGGCTCAGTGGATGTGATGTTGCTATCCTGTACTGCCAGTTTACTGACGTGAAGGGTAGGTTATGGCATGAATTCCATGCTGCATCTGCACTGCTGGCCGCACTGTGGTCCTCTTGGGTGCAGAGAGATACACCTACCATCCGACTTACGACCGAGTTCGGTTCCGAGAAACCGGTCGTAAGTCGAAATGGTCGTAAGTCGAACTTTACTACTGAATATCAACAAAACATTTTTGTAATGACTTTATTTTATTGTTTTATTTTGGTATTTCATGTTTTACTTTACTTTTTATGTTGTTAGTACTGTATTTTATACTGTAAGGTTTAGGATAAACACTGTGTACAACACAAATACTTGTTTATTTTCCAGAAACTTGGCATAAAAAACACGGTCGTAAGTCGAGTGGTCGTAAGTTGGATGGTAGGTGTATATGACCCCTTTTATTCCTAGGAGTTACCCCTCCACATGTTTTTTTTTTTTTTTTTTTTTTTTTTTTGAAAAAAGACAAAAGAAAAAGAAAGAAACCTTACCATAGAGACCCATGTCCATGAAATTCCTCCTCCCAGACCTCTTTCTCCTGCAGCACCCCCTTCTCTATCTTGCCTCATCTTTAGACAATTCTTCAGACTTCTTTAACAACCCGGTACCTTCTTCTGGTAACATTTCATTGCCCTACTCTGGTATCTAGGTTCAGCCTGACCCTTTTGATACATAAGACCTCTGCACATCGTTGACCTTGCTTCTGGCTTCTCCCTTGAAAGTGCAACGATTTTTGGATAGTTCACTTAAGTCTAGATAGACTTCCTCTGCTCCCCCACCTAAACGATCACAACATTAACGAATGACACTGTCCTGGTTACCTCTCAATTTTTCCCAAAAATGACCAATGTGACACTTCCCTTGCATTCTATATTTGAAGGTACACTATGGACTAAGTTCTTCACTCTCCAACCGACAATTTCCACTGACCATTTCTCAGATCATATTATTGTTATTACAGGTTGGCCATCACTAATCTGGCATCATCGGGACCTGTAGGGTGCAGGATTAGTGATTTTGCCAGATTACAGAGTGGTTAGGTTAGAATACACTTGACCCAATGGTGATATTTACACATCGGCAATTTCACCCACTTTATGCCCTATTTTTGGCCCATTCCATTCTTCCAGTCTGCCAAACTCGTAGCTATTTTGCTAGTATTTCAACTACCCAATAAAGTGGTTAGTTTCACACAAATTTCAAAATAGGGTCCAGAATAAACACTGCAGACATTCCTGGTACTAAAATAACATTTTCTCTGTTCATTAGTCAAGTCTCCAGGCCCCTCTTATATTACTCTTGCTTTCCATTTTGAATTTTTATTCGAGAGAGATACATGATAATATACACTTGGAAGGTCCTGGAGGGATTGGTACCAAACTTGCACACGAAAATCACGTCATATGAAAGCAAAAGACTTGGCAGGAGATGCAACATTCCCCCGATGAAAAGCAGAGGTGCCACGAGTACACTGAGAGACAACACAATAAGTGTCCTTGGCCCATGACTGTTCAATTGCCTCCCAGCATGCTTAAGGGGGATTACCAATAGATGCCTGGCTGTCTTCAAGAAGGCACTGGACAGGCACCTAAAGTCAGCACCTGACCAACTGGGGTTGTGGCTCGTACGTCAGCTTGCGTGCAGCCAGCAGTAACAGCCTGGTTGATCAGACCCTGATCTACCATGAGGCCTGGTCTCAGACCGGGCCGCGGGGGCGTTGACCCCCGAAACCCTCTCCAGATAAACTCCAGGTAAGCACAAAAAATAGAAGATTTACTGTTATGCAGACTACTGAATTATTGTAATAATTGTATAAATAATGTCATCCCATTTGTGACAACATATTAGACTGGCCAGTCGAACATTTCTGCTATGTTGAGCTCAATTTCAAGGTATTTTTCATTGTGAAACTAATCAAAATCATCTCTATTTCTGTAATATATCTTCCATTCTATCAAAAGTTAGTTTAATATCTTCATTATGCACCCCATACCCATCCTGTGGGCGGTAGTCACCCCATACCCATCCTGTGGGCGGTAGTCACCACATACCCATCCTGTGGGCGGTAGTCAAAAGATTACAAAGGTACATAATGGGTCCAGTGACTGGACCCAAAGTTATGATAGCTGAACTAGTTACAAAGGTAATGAACTCCAGGTAGATCTGGTCACAATCATGGCAAGTTACAGAGGTAATGAATCAGCCTCACTCCTATACATGGTTACAGTCATGAACAAATTACAAAGTAATGAACCACTGATACGTCCACACCTGGTCACAATTGTAATGAGTTATAAATACAAATATTAAGTGGGTCATACACCCACACGAGAGCGCACGCACAGACACATGCACACGAGCATACAAATATATGCATACACACAAGCACACACACACACGTGGTAATGCTTTATTTACAGCTAGCAAAGTCAGGGTATTTCTCCAGAATGGTCTGTAATATACCACTGTGGATAAAATACTTTGCCATTTCTTGAACATTTCTGAGTGAGTTGTCTTTAAATTCATTAATTTGATCACGCTCCAGTACATAATGACGCAGGGTGTGACAATAGTCCATCTGGCAAAGTTTACATTTCGTTTGGTCTACATCTGGTGGCGGTGATTTAACCTGCCAAAGATACTTGTAGCCCAGCCGGAGCCGGGCGGTAGTGACATCCAAGAGTCTGCTTATTTTGTTGGATGCACCATAGACATGTGGCTCCTCCTGCATGATAGAATGATGATAGATGGACTGACTTGTGTCAATCTCCCTAAGTCTTAAGTCAATAAAGTTCAGTTGAAGTTCTTTTCGTATTATTGTTCTCAAACTACTACCTGACAAGCCAAGATTGTAATCTACTCCCTCTTTGAAAGCATACAGCTTAGCCAATTTATCAGTTCTATCATGCATCTGAAGACCAATGTGAGATGGAATCCACAGCATGTGCACTCTGACTCCACTGTCCACAATCCTACCATACCTGTGTCTGGCTTCTGACACAAGCATGCAACAATTTATGCTTAATGAGTTGAGAGCATTTATGGATGACAGAGAATCAGTTACAATTAAAGTGTCAACCTTAGATACATGGACACATTTGAGTGCAAGGAGTATGGCAAACAGTTCTGTTTGAAGGGTAGAGGCCCAGTTATTGATGCGTGCTCCAATTTCTTTATGAGAGCCATCACTCTGTGTGACAACAGCAGCACTACCAGCTGCACCAGTGGACTGGTGAACAGAACCATCAACGTAAATAATTTATGATAGTGTGTTGTGCGTGACTAAGTTATCAATACAGCTTAAGGCATCATGTTTGGCTTCAAGACGAAGCTTTGGTTGTGATTTAAAAAGAGTTTTGGGGGGAAATGGAGGAATGGTAGTTTGGAATGGGGTAATATCCCATGGAGCAGGGAAATGTCTCTGCTGTCTAACTTGATATAGATCATGTAGCTGGTTCATGCGGAGGTCGGTTCCAGTTTTTTCGATCCATCTGGAAGGATGTTCACCAGTGCTGAGGAAAGTTTGGAGGGCTTCTGTGCAGGGGTTTGAATGGGCTAGCCTAAGCATATTGACCCCAATAAGGATATTTCTTTCAGTAACGCGATCTCTAATGCTTAGAGACCAAGAAATCGAGAATACAACCATAAATACCATATGGAAATACACCGCAAAGTCGCTGTTTTAAACAAAAAAACAAGTTCACTCGCGTAGCGCTCCGAACGTAGATCTACGTTTTATTTTACATGCCTTCAAGTGTAAAATAATGATTTGTTGTTTCAGACTGATTCAGTGTCTTCAGTTTTGTGGAATGATTGAAACAGATGAAGATACAGAAAGTTACTTAGCTACAGTAGAATATAATGGAACAATATGTGTAATTAATTTTCTATGGGAGTTTGAGGAAAACTGGAAGAACAGAGAGTTGGATGAGATGGTTTTCTTTTGTATAGTGCTGGTTTAGTTAGGGAGATGAGGTGCTTTTTAATAATGGCTTTTGATTGGCAAACAGGGGGGACTTTTCAGTGATTTGAGTAATGAATTCTAGATCTTAGGACACTTTATGAGTATTGAGTTTCTGAACAAGGTAAGTCAGACATGGGGGATATCGAAAAGGGTTTTGTATCTTGAGTTGTGTGTGTGTGTGTGTGTGTTCAGTTGTAGCTATCAAGGAACAGTTTCCAAGGAAGGTTTATGTTGGAGTTTAATGCTCTGTATATATAGTAGGCACAGTAATATTGATGACAGTCTGCACAGCAGCTTTTTGTTGGGTTATTGATGGTTTAAGGTGATCTGGTGTAGTATTATTATAATCAAAAAGAAGCGCTAAGCCACAAGGACTATACA